AGACCAATTTGCCACCCGCCGTCACGGCACCTGCTACGATTCTCAAGGAGCCCCTACTAATTTCAGAAGATTCATGATTCTCTAGCATGAAACTGTTGCCCCCTATAAATAGAACCAACTCAAGATCCAACTAGAAACGTTCAACAACGTCTATGTTCGAGTATGGTCAAGGCACAGGTGCGGCGAAACCCTGCAGCTACGGCAACCACAGGGCCAAGGTCCATCGGCATGTTGCACTGGCCTGCGCTGGATCCCATGCAAACCTTGGTAGCCCAGCAATCATGCTACAATAAGGGTACCCTTTTTGGGTTTAGGGCTTAGGTTTTGGATTTCGGGTTACTGTACAAAGGGACTTCGAACCAAAAAAGGGCACAAGGGTACCACTGGGCTATCCGGAAACCAGCTCGCCGCTGGCTGTCACGGCACACGTGTCACGAAACCCTGCGGCCACTGCCACCACCGGGGCAAGGTCGGCTGGAACGTCACACTGGCCATGCTCGTTTGATCCGAAGCAAACCAGCTCGCCGGTTGCTGTCACGGCGCAGGTGTGGTAAACTCCTGCAGCCACGGCCACCACTGGGCCAAGATCGGGCGGCACATCACACTGGCCGTCATCATTGGATCCAAAGCAAACCAGCTTGCCCCCCTCCTTACTTCTCCAATAACCAAGGGCAACCAGGTTAAACTTTAACATATATTCCTACTACATAAGGAAACCCAAAAAGTTTAAAGTTCAACTATAGGCGAAGTAAGCCTCCGTCACGGCGCAGGTATGAGAATTTCCTGCGTCCACGGCCACCACTGGACCAAGGTCCGGGGGGGTGCTGCACTGGCCACAGAAGTTCGAGCCGAAGCACACCAGCTTGCCACCCTGCTACTAGTTACTAGTTGCTTATAAGAACCCCAGAAAAATAACAAATATTCTTCCTCATTAAGGGTAATACAGGGATTATTATGTTTCATTCTTTTGGGGTTCTTAAGCAAATAGTAGCCTGTGTCAGGGCGCAAGTGTGAAAGGCTCCCGCAGCCACGACCACCACCGGACCCAGGTCTGGCGGTACGTCGCACTGGCCACCTTTGTTCGATCCGGAGCAAACCAGATCACCGCTTGCCGTCACGGCACAGGCGTGATAATCTCCCGCTGCCACTGCAACCACCGGGCCAACATCCGGCATGTCGGACTGGCTAAGAGCGCCAAAGCTCAACAGCCGGCCGCACTCGCTGATTGCAGAGATGTGATTGAGGCCTGCAGCTACTGGAGACTCTGATGCGGATCGAAAGGTCAAGGCCAAGAACGGCAG